TATGATACTTTATTTTCTTCATGTTTTTGGTGGGGTTTCATTTCTTCTATTTTATCTAATTGACGTCTTTTGAATGTGTATTTTAATTAATTCCTTACTGTTTTATTGTTTTATCCAATCATGCTATGTTTTAATTGACTGCAATAAAGATGAATTAGAGTTACATGTAAAAATAATAAATATAAAAAAATAATACCAATAATTAAAATAATTATATTAAATACAAACCTTGTGTTGGCACTGGGCGTCAGCATTATGCTCGAGAAGTAGTAAACATATTTTTTCATTGGCAAAAGCCTCTTCGCAGGCGAGCATGAAGACCGGGGTGCCATTATTTGATCTGTTATCGCATTCGGCGCCATTCCTTATCACCATCTCTGTACAGTTGACATGGCGACTAGTCGGTAAAATACAATAGAAAAGTATACCTGGAGATATTCAAGAAAACGATTATTCTTCTACACGTGGCATATGGAAATTAGATGATGGTGATGATGTTTTAGCAAATTTTATGTAGGAATCAGGTTTTAATGTGTAGGCTTATTGTTTTTTAACTTTGGGATTTTTAGTGATTTTTTTTGCGTGGAATGCGCTTTGACCCACTGAAAAGTTGCTTAAAATGCTAATTTGCATGAATTGATTAAATTGATTGATTGATACATTGGCGTGATGATGATTATACTGAAGATAATGATGATGTCATTGTCATCATCATCATGGTTGGCGATGGTGTTGATCGGAGTGATCACGACGATGACGATGATGATGATAATGATGATGATGACGATGATTGTAATGATTATCGTAATGGTGATGATAATGATGGAAAGAATGTTCATGATTATGGTGATTCTGATAATGATGGTATATTGATAATGATGATGATAATTATGTTGATAAGATTATGATATTAATGGTGGTGGTGGTGATGATGATGATGACAATAATTTTGGACTTCATGACAAACTGAAAGCCTGACAATATGTAACGCGATATGCAAGGTCTATTGTATTGCAAATAGAATTCGCTCCTTATACACCTTTTCATTTTGTTTTCGTTCCTGAGCAAACAGTCAAGCTGGATTTTGCAAATAAAATTACGATATACTTAGTTAATATCTAACAGCTCCATGGTTACGTAGGCAATGCAATTTGCGTTATTGTTAGTGGTGTTTTAACAAGGCCATATTCACTTATAATTATAATCACTATTCGATTTCCTATATGATAAATTGGTGTAGATGTAGATATGTGTTGTTAACTGCTATATACACCGGCTAATTTCCGAAGGTCATTTTTAATCTCATTTTGTTTGAGACTTATTGTAGCAGTTGCAATGGTTTGAGTTGTTTAATGTGACATTATCTTTGTTTTTTCTCTAACATAAATTATAATGATTTTTTAAATAATTAATTAAACCTCATCCAGCTCGATGTTATAAGGGGGGGGGGGGGAAGGAGCCGGCCTCCTAAATTTTTTATAATTAAAAAAATGGTGAAAATAGGGAAAATATATTCAAATTTTAAGTCTGAGAGTGCCACAGACCGGTCCGGTCACAGACCCACAATCTGTAAAAATTCCTCCCTGTTCCCCTCTATTTCAATTTTCTGGATCATCCACTGTGTATAGAGGTATTAAAGTAGGCCTAATATTGTACGCTATGACTCTGTCGTGTATACCTACGTAAACTTATCAGCCCAATTTCAATTTATATGGAAGGATATTTATATTCGTCATAACATATATGGATGGTTTGCACCGTATGTTTATAAACATTTGATAATGGAATGGGTAAGGGGAAATTCTTGTAACTTGTAACTTGATTTACTTTAATGTCGTTTTTGTTGTAGTGTAATTCTTTGTCGTATTTGAGGTGGTTTAAAACTACAAATTCCCCATCAATTATAAACCGCCGTACTCCACAATCGGTGCCCTTTTAAATGAAAGGAACATTCAGAAACACTTTACAATACGTATAGGCCTACATATTAATGTTAGTTTGTTTCATATGAAAGGCCTAACTCACCTTTCCCATCGATGTCTCTAATCTTCATATCTGATCCAGCATTACATAGGATTTCCAGTGACTGGACATGGCCATATTCTGCGGCTCTCATGGCCGCTGTTCGCCCATTGAGGTCCGTGACATTCGGGTGAGCCCCTAGCTCTAATAAGAATTTCATCATCTCCTCATCATTGGCCTTTGCAGCTAGATGGATAGCTGTGTCCCCTCCGTTCGGTTCACTGTAGTTGATGAGGTGCTGAACTCCGTGTGAACATAGTTTCTCTATCTGAGCCGTGTCTTTATTACGGACACACTGTAACAGTTTGTGTATTTGAAGAACTTCTAGTCTCGTCTGGGCAACCGGCATTTTGTTTGAATTTTCACGTTGTCAACATAAATAATCAAAAGATCTGGCGAATTTAACGAGAGTTCCCCTGCAAACGTGACTAACAAACCCACTATTCAGTTTAAGTTCACAACAATAAAATACTTCGCCCCAGCACAGCAGACTAATAAAGCGGCCTATATTTCAGAAATGACTCACCCATATAGTGTATAATACTCAAAGTATACGTTTTAACATAGAGTCGCCTCGATAGTCCTAAAACCACCTGCCAAGTAAAAACATATTCAGGTAATGAAGATAAAAGGGGAAATTCAGTGTTTCCTGTATACACAAAAGCAAAGGCTTAGGGTTCTACATTAATCCGAGTCCGCTCGCCAATTATTACATATTTCGATGTTGATAGCTTCCTGGAGACGAGATAATTTCCTCCAAATGCCACGGCACGGCCTACTTAATACATAAAATCACCATGCTAAGGGAGAAAAAATTGAACATATATACAGTACTTTACAGTTAGTCCTGATATGAGCCGTCGGTCGTCGCTAGACCGCTACTTGCTTTTCGCTCCGTTTCGTACTGAGCGTGGATTGTAATCAGCGTTGCCATGGCAGCTACAATGGCGTGTGATTTGCGTATCAAAGGGGTCCTGTATACAGAACCGTCCCTTTTATCGCGGGTGAGTGATTTATGTCTTTTGACTTTGTACAGTCATTACTACACTATACTTTACCAAAGGGACGGCTCAGACGTGACCACATTATAATTGTTGCCCCAGTTATGACCCTCTCCTCGATGCTCTCTGGAGGGTAACGACACCTGTTTGTACACCTTGTTCATAAATATAAAAGCCTATCTGATGAAAAGTTAATAGTTGGCAGTTATATGTCGCTATGTGGTCAATGTAATTAACTAATGAAATAATTAACCAAAATCTGTGTCGTTTAATTATAGACCTACATTAATTGTTTATGGCAAGCATAAAGGTACATAAAAGCATAATGCAAATAATAGTGATAATAATAATCAAATGTCACACCAATTATAATAAATATTAAAAAATAAATTAAATAACTATCATAATGGGCCTTTATAAACTTCATCTTGTGGTAATGCTGTAAATATAATATATAAATAAATATAAATGCTATAAATATAATATGTTAATAAAATCGTCTAAGAAAGGTAAATACCTGTCTCTTATACACATCTAGATGTGTATAAGAGACAGGTATAGAGGTATTAAAGTAGGCCTAATATTGTACGCTATGACTCTGTCGTGTATACCTACGTAAACTTATCAGCCCAATTTCAATTTATATGGAAGGATATTTATATTCGTCATAACATATATGGATGGTTTGCACCGTATGTTTATAAACATTTGATAATGGAATGGGTAAGGGGAAATTCTTGTAACTTGTAACTTGATTTACTTTAATGTCGTATTTGTTGTAGTGTAATTCTTTGTCGTATTTGAGGTGGTTTAAAACTACAAATTCCCCATCAATTATAAACCGCCGTACTCCACAATCGGTGCCCTTTTAAATGAAAGGAACATTCAGAAACACTTTACAATACGTATAGGCCTACATATTAATGTTAGTTTGTTTCATATGAAAGGCCTAACTCACCTTTCCCATCGATGTCTCTAATCTTCATATCTGATCCAGCATTACATAGGATTTCCAGTGACTGGACATGGCCATATTCCTGTCTCTTATACACATCTAGATGTGTATAAGAGACAGAATTCCTTATTGTTTTATTGTTTTATCCAATCATGCTATGTTTTAATTGACTGCAATAAAGATGAATTAGAGTTACATGTAAAAATAATAAATATAAAAAAATAATACCAATAATTAAAATAATTATATTAAATACAAACCTTGTGTTGGCACTGGGCGTCAGCATTATGCTCGATCAAATTTGAATATGTTGTGTATGTATGCAGGGGATGATTTAAGGGGGGGGGGGGGAAGGAGGCCTGGGCCCAGCCTTTCCCCTTTTTTGGGAAGTAAAAAAAAAGAAAAAAAAAAAGAAAAAAAAAAAAGCCCAAAACACCTCAGATGTTATATTCATAAAACACAATAATTTCGCGGGGGTAATTCCCCGGACCCACTAGAATAGTGTTATCTCGATCGGCGCACCTTTCGGTCCCCTTTTGGACATCTCTAGATCCGCCCCTGGAAGGTACTAAATATATTTGCTGTTAGCAATGTATTTGTGTATTTATCTGATATATTTTCTGTAGATTCTCTAATCCTTGTTCAGTATGTGATTCAATTTAACACAATAAATAAAAGTAATAGACTTCAAGTTGAATGTAACAAAAGCATTCTTTAATTATTATTTGCTTTACATCATTAAACTTTAACAATCAATCCTCAAGTAATCTTCTGATGACTTGTTCAATTTTGTTAGAATGCTAATACATTGATGGTTTCCAGTTACATTATGGGAAAAACAAGAAGCATGTGATCAGAGTTTCTGATTGGACAAAATTATTGTTCTTAATTAATTAATTACCATAAAGTATGATGAAATGACAGCCACGGATACATACCAGTAGTGTACTATTGATAATATGGAATATACACAATGGAACAATTATCAATGCAATAGTTTTGATGCAATAGTTACTATGCTACAGTAAAAACTATCAAACAAGTTTGTAATTCATGTGATAGATTCTCTTCATTCATTGCATGAGTCTATAATCTGGTTGTGGTTATCAGTTCTTTCCATTGTACAGTATAGTCATTTTACAACGTCTTGCGTTTTTGATTTTTCCCCCTTTCCGTTTGAAAGATAGTACATGGTGACTCCAAAAGAGACGGATAAAATAAGCAGCGTTCCGTTGTGGAGACTTCGTGCTATACCTTCTTGTTTTGATGACTGATGTGAGCCTTGGTCTGTACTCTGAATCGGTAAACAGCAAAAAAATATTTATCTAAACCAGCTTTAAGTTGTAGAATAAATCAATTACAATGTTCAAGCGTAGATGATCAATGTCTATTTCTTCAATATTAGTTGGGATAATCCATACAAGGCGTAGACACAAGAACCACCAACGAAAGCAAATGCACAGTAGTAAAGTGGCATGTCCATTGGACCACCCTTCAGATGCACTGGCTTGCCATCAGCATGCTGTGAATTCAATCAATCAATCAATCAACATGGATTTGTATAGTGCCAATATTCACTGCAGAATGCAATGTTCAGTGGTGCTATGACAATGGTATTACTACTGAGGTTTAACAATAATATATTATTTATATACAGTATTATAAAAAAAAAAAACCCAAAAAAAACCAAAAACAAAACAATTTATTTATTTATTTAAATTCTCATTCAACAGCGTGAAATCTGCCACTTACAGAAAAGAACCTTAACTACTTTAAAACTTCAGTAAGAAAAATACACTTTTAGATCAATTTCACAACTACTGAGGTTAATTAACATTGCTATACATACAGTAAATTATACAGTATACAAGAAATGGAAAAAAAAAGATCCCTGGCTTTAGAGTATTTTGGTATATATTTAGGAGTAAAAAATAGGATAAATAAATACAGTAAAAATCAAGGATTCTATTAAATGATGTTTTCTTCTGTATATTTAAATACACTGCTAGATATATAATATTTTTAAAAAGCGTCCTGTATTGGCAGGAAACTACTTTAAAATATGAAAAGCATGAGGCACATAAATTTACCTGGAAGCGTTCTTGATTCCTTCTAACTTTAGCATTGTCAAATCGTTTAACAGATGTTGATAGATTGGCCCTTGCCTGAGGAATAAGGCTCCTCACTCTCTGTGAAAAACAAAAAAAATAAATTGACCAACAATAAACTTATATTAAATAGCAATTTATTTAAATGTTTAATATTTTTCTATTCCTTACCCTTACTGTAGTTTTATTAATTTAATTGACTTGTTTCAATCACGGACCTATAACATTAGTTTGAATATTAATTATTTGGTTTTTCTTTTTACTATTAAACTTAGGCCTTGCCAAGCCCTCATATAGTACAGTACTGTAAAGTTTTTCAATTGTGCGGATGATACCTAAAAACCAGCTGAAATTGGTGCTGAAAAAATCGCTAGGAATATAGGTGCAAAGAATCGTACTGCATACATTGTCTACATATTCATAAGCCTAATTAATATCCGGCAAAATCTGTGCAGAAATCGGCCTATTATTTCTAAGCCAAGAAAGGAGGCCTAGGCCCTACATCCGAAGAGGATGTAGGCCCTAGGCCTATTGATTGCTCCCAAGCAAGCAAGGATGGGATCAGCACAGCAGGGAGGGAGGAATTGTTAGTTACAGTGGTGTGGCTTAATTAAGAGTAGACAGTCTGCAGCCTAGAACCATAAATCGGTGCACCGAGCTATCTGCGTCTGCTCGGTTGGGTAGCACACCGCTTGGGCTTAGGTTAGGGCCTCGGCTAAGCTAGGCTCTAGGCTAGGCCTAGGTCTAAATAAGCTTGCTAAGATTAAGAATGCAGCGGGAAATAATAATTTTTCAAAGGCTCATTTACTTATTCAGCAATCGTAAACATATCTGCTTGATATACCACATTAAATACATACCAGAATCCTATTCATTATTAATATTTTAACCGGCTTCCGCTCTTCCGTCGTACAAAGCAGCAAAAACTACAAAATGGCGAAGAGCAGAATGGAATTGAACAATAGAGGGCGTTTGTATATTTTGGGTGGCTGGAATTTCAGAACTTTTCCAACATTTGGATATGATATTAAACCTAATTGATTTTAGATAATTGAGCATAGTTTGTGTTCAACCAGTTGTTATAGTAAACAACTCCCTGGTGGAGCTAAATAAATCTTCTAAAATAATATTAAAATTCAATAATTGAAATGCTTACTCTATTTTGTATATTTAATTAAAATTATTAATATTAAACTATTTATTGATTCTAAATCAAAATGAAACCACCCCTCAATTAAGAGGTATAATACCCTTCTTATATTCTTAGTAAAGGCCCGAAAATCGGATATTATTTAAGAAATGTCCGAACGTAGGAAATGTAATGTGTCGCATTAAAAGTTAACTTAAAATTGATTCCTCAAAAAAAAAAAAAAAAAAAGCTCTCTCCCAGTCGTCCCATTGAAAATGTTCGAAGCAAAACATCACGCTCAAGTTAAAATTCGTCTCATATCACCTTATTTTGCGAGGTAGCGCCTCCCTCACTAAAGCCAAATCCGAGGTAAGAATCCCAGAGGACTGGCCGGTTCAAAACGCCTGCGACACTAGAATGTTAATGAGTCTGTCAAAGTAGTTATTATACATACCTGAAACAGTGGCCATTTCTCATAAACCCTATTTCTTATTAAACTTCCAAATATTTGGTCACCTCCTAGAGGACTGTACTGTGGTGCTGGTGGCATCGGTTTGACAGCCCACTGGATCTTTGGGGGGTCGGCACACTTCAATTTCTTTATACCCTATGTTACATGCAGGAAAACAAGTGAAAAGAGTTATCAAATTAGGCTAGACTTGCATTTTAGAATGTTATAAGAAGTTACAACTTGCTTAACAAACAAACATGGAAGGTAATCATGTAGGGCTATGTTGTTGTAGTCCCTGCTCTCTTTATTAGATTTCATGAGTTTGAATTGCTGGTGCTTATGACACGAGTGAAGGCCCGGCCCACTGTACATGTTTATGTATTGTTTTAAAGTAAATCATCATCGTGTTCGTTCGAATAGGCCCTAGCGGATTAGGGTCGTAGCGGCCGCGAGGGAAAGCGGCCGCGCTCAAAATGTATGGAACGCCAGTAGATCAGGCAAGTGTTCCGAAATAAAGGGAAATCAATGTATAATTTTCATAATTGAATATTTTTTATTTCTCGTAGTCTTCTTGGCCCTGGTTAATTAAAGATCGATTTGTTTACAGATTGATTACATATCGAAACATTTTTGTACGTACAGTACATGACATAATTGAATTATGATATGATTAAATTGATATTTATTATATGTTATCAGTTCGAATTTTTATGTACAATGAACTTTTATTTTATATTTCTTTCAGGACACAAACGGATTCAAACATGGTATCTCTCAATACTAAATTTACAATGTAATCAAATTTGATGAACGTGCAAAACACTTAGTGATAATGTACATTGTTGTCATTATTATTATTAATTTATTATATTATTATTATTATTATTACTATTATTATTATTACTATTATTAATAACAATTATGAATCATCTTCAAATGCAATGACAAACAGATGTTCATTGACTAAAGAACAAACTGAACACAAGTTAGTGAAATTCGAAGAAATAAACTAAAGCGATTTAAAAAGTACCATCCATTTCTGTAAGAAAATAGGCATACTATAAATCATAATATTTGATATAATAAACTAACTAAATATTAAGTCTCAATTTATATAGGCTATATATAAATTATGAAAGAAAATATACATTACAGTAATTTGATAATTATTAAAACAGTATTAATATCGAACTCTGATGCCCATTGTCCAACATACATTTTGCATACTGCACGCTTGGCGCTCAATACAAATTGCTACGAATCAGCTATGAATGATGTGTATGTTTTGGTGTGGTAGGTATGCTGGCGTTAGTTAGTAGTAGAATTATATAGTAGTAGTAGTAGGCAGAGGAACCGTAGTACAATAGAAGTAGTTGAGTATGCCTTAATATTAGGCGTAGTTTAACCAACCTGACTTAGGCCCAGCAGCCGACTCGACGGTATAACCCCTCTCCCTAAATGGGCTAGACCCTAGGCCCCTAGCTAGGCTAGTCGCCTACTACACGCGGCCTAGGCCTAGGCTACAGAACCGTCCTAGCCTAAAACTAAAAGAAGGCTAGGCCTAAAAAAAAAAGGCCTAGGCTAGCCTAGTGCCTCTTACTCACTTCAGGGTTGTAGGCTAACTGTGGTGTACTGGGAGATAATTTCCCAGTCGATGTGTTGTATCTGAAAGCCATTTTATGGAGTATGCATCGGCCAAAAACAAACTAGGCTTAGGCCTAGGCCTATGTATGGAATTGAAGTAAAATAAAGTGGAAAACCACCTAACGCCCCCAACTGTGTAGCAAGGAAAATAGGCTCATATGTCCAGACCACAAATATATTATACTGCACTCAGCGATTACAAATGAAGGCTAGGCAGAAATATCAATCAATTGTCAATTACCGACACATATAAACTCTAGAGGGGGTTTTCATGTTTATTTCTCTCCTTGTTGCCCATGCCAACGTTGTTTTGCCATCACAATAAAGTGTAACCCACATTGTTGTGTTGGGAATTATTTGATGGCTCTCTGAGTCCATGTGAGTTACTCTCGTCAAGTGCATGCACATTATTGTCTCTGAAATCTCACTTTTCAGCGGGAAATAACTTAATTATGTCGTACCTCGGCAAAGACAGACACGATGGATTGCCGAAATTAAATGGCCACAGATCTATGGACCGTAATTTGACGCTTTTGGAAGACGAAATTGAGAGGCTTCGTTTCAGTCGGTCAGCCCCACCTGCCGGACGGTCTAGTAGCCGGCCAAATAGCCCAGGACTAGGCCTAGGGAGTCCTCAACCAAGTGGCTTTCAAACGAAAAAAATGATACAGGATGTAAGTTTATACTATTTCTATTTGTTCATCATACCATTTTAAAGCTAAAGTTGATTAACTGCGTTGTTAATTTATGAATTTGCTCTTATATAAAGTTACCTAGGCCTAGGCCTATAGTCAGATAGGTACATATTGAAAATTGTTGAATTAATACAGTCAAATTGTTATTTCAAATAATTCACAGATTGAAATCTGTGCCTAGATAGATAGAAGCTTGGCGCAGTCGTGGGTTTGATTTCGCAACCCCAAGTTTGGCAATCCTTCGATGTGTACGTTGCTTGTGTTCTTGCTGAGAAAAGCACTTTAATTATCTGAATTGCTTCTGTCCACTTAGTTAGAAGTACTTGGGTACATTTGGGTTGCCTGCTGATGGGCTGATTACAGCAGCAACACTTAAGCATGTGGACCCAATGACTTGGGACATAACGTAAGCTCTTCAATATGAAAAGAACGGTGCTAGGCCTATATAGATGAACAATAAACTAATTACCTTCCTTTTATTTTTGACAGTTGCATGATCAAGTAAAACTGTACAAATCGGAACTTGATAAGAAAGATAAGTTGATCCAGGACTTATCAAGGTAAAGAATGAACAGATTATACTTATAAATAATATTAATTAATTAATTAATTAAAATTTTAGCCATGACAAACAGCCTTTAAAAGCGACAGACAAAATATATTGAAAGTTACAAAATGTAGTATTCAAGCTATTAAATATCCAAAATTTACTTTACAAATTCAGTTAATGTCATATTACAATACATTAAATAATAATTCATTGCGTATTTTGTATTCATTTCAGTTCGATATTATAATTTCTTTATTTGTTCATTCATTAGGGTTGAGTCATCAACTCCATACCGGAGGGTACATTTTAGTCCAGAGGATAAGGTATGTTATTATCTGCTTAAATTTTATTATAGATTTTATGTTATTGGCATTTTTGTAATCAAATTCATATTCAGAATTATTAGATATTCATACAAATTGTTCTCAATAGTATAAGAGAGTGCTTATAATGTCTTCTACATTTAAATTCAAATTCTATCCTTAAATTTTAAAAATAATCTATAGTTTGGTTAAAAAGCATATAAAAAGTGAATTAAATTTGTTTTTTACTTAATTAAAATTATGCTGCTCAGTTGATTTTCTAATTAAAAAATGGAAATTTCAGAAAAAAATAAAGGTTTTTTTTATTTTTATTATACCCTCTGCTGCCTTGAAATATCTAAAGATAAGATATGTATGTTTCTTCCTAATTATATAAATTTAAAGCATTTAATCATCCCAATACTACACTGTTTACATTTACCAATAACATTTTATTTTTATTTTCTCCTCCGTCTGGATGTTTTTGGCAAAATTATTTGCTAAATAAGAAAACATAACTTTATTTTTATTTTTTTCCTTCCTCCTCTGATAATCTTTAAAAAAATAAGTTTGTGAAACAAGGAATAAAAAAGTCTTTTATTTTATTTTATTTTATTTTATTCAGTATAAAACCAACAGCGATGAAAACCGCCACTAACAGGTTCAACTAAAACATATATAAATATATATTATAAACTTCAAAACTGAAATAAACTAAAATACACTTACACAATTTTAACTATTTTGCTTTTAAAAATATTAAAACTATCATAAAAAATATCAATATTAAAACAAGTATCAAGTAGTCTATTAAATTCGTTCGGTAAACGTTGAAAAATACCCCGTTTTGTACAACCAACTGCCTAATCCTGATAGTGTAGAGTCATAGAAAGCTTTCTAAATTATAATTATGTGGATGACACATTGTCACTATATGCTATAATTTATTAGTATCTCATACCTTTTGATTTTATTATATAGGCATGCTAAGATTTCTTTTATTTATATATCATGTACACACTTTACAAGGATATTCCATTAAGTAGTCATACACTAAGCTATAATATGACATGTATACGCTATACATAATAAGATGTATCATTACTACAGACAAATCCTAGGTAATTTGTGGC